GGACTATATTAACTTATGAGGCACAATTTAAGGACTATAACAGTTTTGAAAAAAGTTTATATTATTTTTGAGAACAGAAAGGTTTTTTTCTTTGTATTTTTTTTTTGTTGGGAGAACACCAGGGGTTTTTTTATTATTTAAACAGAAGAGATGACAGCAATTTTAACATCTCTTTACTTTAATATTAATGCTTTTGTTTATATTTACAGTTAGAACACTCATATTCACTTCCTAATAATTTTTATGAGTTATAGGAAACAAGTTTTTCTCCATAGATTAAAAATGGAGAAATTTCAGTTCACGACTTTTCTCCTTTCTTTATTTCGGATTTGACATTTCTTTTTGCTAGATTTTGGTGTTTTTATACTATCTCTGTGTGTATTACTACTTTGGTTTCTGGGGTTTTTTTGTTGTTTTTTGGTTTTGTTTGTTTGTGTGTTTTTTGGTTTTGTTTGTTTGGTTAGGGTTTTTTTGTTTTGTTTTGTTTTTTATTTTGGAGAGAGAAATAAATAAGGCATTGAAAGAGTTAATACCTTCCCGGGCAGCAGAGGGTTTTGTGATTTTTTCCAGGTGGGGTAGTCAGTTATTTAGGATCAAGAGTCTTTCAAGGCCACACTGGGGGCTGGGTAAGGACTGTAGGGTTCAGTCTGAGGAGCCGTGATGAGTTTCTGGTTTCATGGCTGTTCTCCAGCGCCCGCTGCACTCAATTCCAGCCACGGACCGGGGGTTCTTTCTCCACCCTGCCCAGCAGGGAACCACCAGAAGATAGGACTGAACACAGAAGACTTACTGGGGTTGAAAGTCAACAAATTCACTCTCCCCAAGGAATTCCCAATGTCAGTTTGGATCCTGATGGACATTCCTGCCCCTACATTCATCCAGGTGCCCACAGGGAGACAGGATGATGCAGAGACCCAAACACAGCCAGGTGTCTTCCCAATACGGATCACCAGGACCAAAGACCACCAGGGCTCTGCCCATCGGGGCTCACTGGGGATCACCCAACATCGATCCTCCCATGGGGGATGGAGCTGAAGCAGAGCATGAAGCTCTTCCCACACTAAGGGCACTCACTAAGGGCTTCCCTTACTGGGACCTCCGTTGGTGTTGGGTCAAGTGAGAGCTCTGGGAGAAGCTCTTCCCACACTCAGGACGCTTGTGGGGCCTCTCCCCAGCGTGGATACGCCGGTGGAGTGAAGTTGGAGTTTTGCTTGAATCCCTTCCCGCAGTCGGGGCAGCGGAAGGCCCCCTCCTCTGTGTGAATCCGCTCATGTTTGAGGAGATCAGAGCTGATCTGAAACCTCTTCCCACACTCAGCACACTCGTAGGGCCTCTCCCTGGTGTGGATGTGCTTGTGACTTCTCAGGTTGGAGCTCCACCCAAAGCTCTTCCCACATTGCAAGCAGGTGTAGGGCCNTGTGTGTATTACTACTTTGGTTTCTGGGGTTTTTTTGTTGGTGTTTGGTTTTTTTTTTTGTTTGTTTTTTGTTTTGGTTTTGGGTTGGTTTTTTTTTTGGAGAGAGAATAAAGTAGGCATTGAAAGAGTTAATACCTTCCCGGGCAGCAGAGGGTTTTGTGGTTTTTTCCAGGTGGGGTAGTCAGAGTTATTTAGGATCAAGAGTCTTTCAAGGCCATGCTGGGGGCTGGGTGAGGACTGCAGGGTTCAGTCTGAGGAGCTGTGATGAGTTTCTGGTTTCATGGCTGTTCTCTGGCGCCCGCTGCACTCAATTCCAGGCATGGGCCAGGGGTTCTTCCTCCACCCTGCCCAGCAGGGCACCACCAGAAGATAGGATTGAACACAGAAGATTTTCTGGGGTTGAAAGTAAACAAATTCATTCTCCCCAAGGAATTCCCAATGTCAGTTTGGATCCTGATGGACATTCCTGCCCCTACATTCATCCAGATGCCCACAGGGAGACAGGATGATGCAGAGACCCCCCCAGCCAGGTGTCTTCCCAACACGGATCACCAGGACCAAAGACCACCAGGGCTCTGCCCAATAGGGGTCACCGCAGATCATCCAACACCGATCCTCCCATGGGGGATGGAGCTGAAGCAGAGCACGAAGCTCTTCCCACACTAAGGGCACTCACTAAGGGCTTCCCTTACTGGGGCCTCCGTTGGTGTTGGGTCAAGTGAGAGCTCTGGGAGAAGCTCTTCCCACACTCAGGACACTCGCAGGGCCTCTCCCCGGTGTGGATGCGCCGGTGGACAGTGAGGGTGGAGTTTTGCTTGAAGCCCTTCCCGCAGTCGGGGCAGCGGAAGGGCCTCTCCTCTATGTGAATCCGCTCATGTTTGAAGAGATCAGAGCTGGTGTGAAACCTCTTCCCACACTGGGGACACTCGTAAGGCCTCTCCCTGGTGTGGATGTGCTTGGTGGCTTCTCAGGTTGGAGCTCTATCCAAAGCTCTTCCCACATTCCAAGCAGGTGTAGGGCCATTCCCCTGTGTGGATCACCTGGTGCCGGAGCAGGTCAGAGCTGTCTCTGAAACCCTTCCCACATTCCAAGCACTTGT